CTAACATATATATATATATATATATATATATATATACAAAGATGACATGCCGTTCTTATTCTTTTAGTCGTTTACTTGTTCTCGTTAGTGTTTATGTGTCATTGAAGGCATGACAGCCCTAGGTATAGGATAAGTACACAGACTCCACACTGGAGAAAGTGAGACACTGGGCCCCTTAGTTTCCATGATTTCTGTACTTTGTGGGTTAGACCCTTATTACTTTCTCTTATCAACAGGACTGGGGTTACTTTTTTGGCCCCTGACCAGAGTCCGCTCACCCTTTTATAGCCTACGCGCTGAATTCCTCTACTTCCCCATCTGGTACTAGTTCTCAGATTCAACTCTCGTCTCTTGTACTCCCTTGGTGAAAGATTCCCTGTTGAGAACTTGTCCGGCAAATTTGGCCGTACGCGATGCCATTTTATGATGCTTCGAAGAAGAGAGATAAATATATAAGAAATCTTCTGGTATCGAATTAATCAAATAAAGAGGTGGACCAAGCCTTAACATTTACTTTCTTGTTCTCATGGGTTGCCTCTATGATTTTTCAGTATCTGATCCCACTTCCACAATCTAATGGCTATATATAATAGAAGAAAAAATGAAATGAACCGCTATGTTTTTTTACTTCCCTTATGTTTCGAATTAGCCTTTCAAGATTGGTTTACTTTTTCACCGTTCACACACGTCAAGAGGAAGCGATAGAGTCACAAACACTGAAAACTAAGTAGATAAGAACTCAAGTCGATAATTTCATGCTTATTACATCAAAGCGGCAAGTGCTTTAGGAAGGAAAAAAAACAGACAACGAGAAACGCCAAAGATGTCTCAGCATGTTGCGCCTTTCTTTACCGTAAACCTGAGCTGCGAAGTCTTATTTATTATCCATGCTCGCCTTCAGGATCAAAACATTGGAATAAAACGAATAGAATTGATTATGCACGATATTGTGTCAAGCATCTTCAATGATGCCTTTATGGAGTCACTCTTTAGCCCGCAAGATATTTGCGGAAAGAGTGCTGTCTACAAAGTCTTTCTCCTGCTGAACGAGTGTCCCACGATAAGCTTGAATGAGAGCTCCTTAAGGAAGCTGTACGATATCGTCCTCATGGCGGTGAAGTATCAGTTCTACACCTTGAGCCACCCTCTGGAGTTGTTAGAGATGACTTTTAATCACTTAAATGAGGTCAAGCAGTTCATACACCGTAGCGCCGAGCCGCACATCGAACTCGTTGAGAAGCTCTTCGAATCGCTATGTCGCAATCTTTGCGTCGGTCAGCTCGCAGAGATTCGTCAGCGTTCACTTAACCTTTCCTTAGATCGGCGGTTTCAGATTTCGCTTTTCATGGAGAACGACATTCAGCTTCCAGGTGGATGTTTCCGAATCCCAAAGAGTCGATTTATTTCACCCGCTGTGAACACCGAGGCACCTGGTTTAATCCGAAGCTTCACTAAGCACGAGCACAGTTTAGCATCGCAGCAGCACTTTTACCATCCTGACGCCATTCTCCCGTTTCCAACGCACATCACGGTGGGGCAGTGGAATCCATTGCAGCGGGCTACCCGGATGACGAAGAACGGCCTTAACATGTTCAGTGGGCACCTACGAGACCTCCTGTCGGCGCCCTGTGTGCATGGCGGCGAGCTCTCCGCCTCGACGGCGGCCCGCGCCGCGCTGCCGAAGACGGACGCCGACGACGCGCGGTTGAGGGCGTACTCAAACGAGGTGAATACCCTCGCGACGATGCTGCGTGGGGCGCGTGGTCCCTCTAGGGCGGCAGGGGCGCACGGGCAATTTCAGCTGAGCCTCTTTGACGACGACAGCGAGGAGGAGAATGCGGGGGAAGGGGAGACGAGGGGTCGGGGGGAGCCCCTCCCCCCTGCCGCTCCACCAAGGGAGACGACGTTCCCTCATGTTGTGGAGAGCGGCCGACGCCCCGTGGAGCGCAGCATCGCCCCTACCGCAGTCCGGCGGGAGAATCAGCAGCTTTTGGACATCATTGGCAGCCTCAACGACGTCAAACCACACCAAAAACGCGATACGGCGATGGACAAGGGTGCCGCAAATGATTTTTTGGATATCATGGATGACGTATAGAATGCGTGGGTTCTAAGGTGTAAATAGTTCAAGTGGAGCTTCTCGCTTCATTTTATTTTTCTGATACATTTTTTTCTTTTATGAAAAACTTTTACCCGTTGGACACGATTCACTTTTTTATTATTTCAAAACAAATCATTGCAAAATGATGGTCCTATAGGTGTATGCAATGAGCCCCTCTCAAAAATCGACGTTTCTACCTAGATAGTATGGTACTGTATTATAAATATGCTGCGCTCATTCAGTACAGTTCATCTTGAAGTTCTTTTTTCTTTGATTTAGAGAGGTTTCGATCCCAACCTTTTTATGCAATTCTTAGTCTAATCGATTTTTTTGCTTTTCAGACCATATATTGCTGATATTGTGTGTACTCGCACAGCTGTATTGCTATCAAGGGAAAATAAAAGTGACTAGATAAGGGATTTTATAGGGGCGCTCCTGATGTTAATGCGGCGTTGTATTTTTACCTCCACAACCGGCATCTTGAGCAGTGGTGCCGCGCCCCACACCACCTCGGTGCGTGCTTATCGCCTCGTGCCGCACGTGAACTACGAAGTCGAAGAGCTTGCTGAGACGCAAAAGCCCAAGCGGTGGAATATCTCGCATCGCAACTGCCTTCAGCAGCCCCTTAAGCGCGCCGAAATTTTGGTTGAGAAGCTCAACCTTCGTGAGATGCGGCGCACCGGCGTGCTTCCAGAGAAGTCTATCGCGCGGCGGATGAGTCAGAAGTACGCTGTGGATGGCACCGTCGTGGAAAGCGAGTCGAAAGTGAAATTAATCAACTTCACGGTCATCAACTTCGATGGCCACCCTTTTCACTTCCGCGTTTATCCAATGCCGGACGTCACATTGAACACCTTCATCGACGGCACCGGGATGTGCCACGGGCATCCCCATCATTGGGGGAAGTGCAACAACCTCGATTGCGCGGAGTGGAACCACGGCGATGGATGCCTCTTGAATGTCGATCTCGACACCTTGGATCGCCTGCTGCCGCCAAATCGGTGGGAGTACACCTCCCTCACCGCCTGGCGTGCGCTGGATCGACCGGATATCTCTTACAACTCGCGGTTCAGTTGTCAAATTCCCATCACGGCCGAACTTGACGGTGCCGTCTTCGCTCTGAAGCAGCTCTGGTCACGGGCACTTCGGGAGTCCGTATCCGACTGGGGTCTTGTCGATGAGTTGGCGACAGTGGCAATGGCTCGAAGCAAAAGTATTGAGCCCTGGGCCCCTCCGCTTGAGGAACCTACCAAAGTGGACTTCCCCATTACGCTTGACATGCTGTGGGCGACGAGCTACCAGGAAATCATGCAAAAGAAGTACTCCAACTACCGCCGCAAGGACAGCTACCACACCAAACCTCAATTCTGGGCAGCATACGTTTAGCGTCCAATTTCACGTTCTAAAAAGTCCGCATCCTCTGGGATGGTTGTCGTCATAGTAGTAGTAGTAGTAGTAGTAGCAGTAGTAGGTAGTCATGATGGCAGAGGTTGTGTGTGTGTGAACTCCTTTAAGGAGGAGAAGGGGGCAGCTATGTTCCATAAGATGTATGGCCCTCTAGGCGTTTTTTCAATTTATTTTTCCATTCTTTGTTTACTAGAGGGATATTGGCGTTGAGTGAAACGAGGCCATTCTAACGAGTAGTATTCTCTACTTCTCCGTCTATATATTTACATGGGAACCTCCTTAACTAAAATTATTAAGGGGTGATGGAATCATGAGTTGTATCCGTTTGCGGATGCTTTAGTGGCTTTTGGGTACGTATTGTTCATTTTTGCTCTGAGCAAATGCGCATTTTTGGCAAACACATGTCCTCACTTTTGAGGGTCCCTTACCACTTTTATTTTCGTGAATGTATTTCACCGAATGATATGAGATTCATACATTTGAATCTACCTACCTTTGGTTAAAACCTTTCCTCACCTTTTTCAAATCTTTCGAAAGCGATTTCAGTAAGAAATACTACCACAACCAGTAATTGAGCATTTTAACCAGAAAATAAACTAATATAGACCCGTCTCATACTTTTTGCGGTGCAAATTTGTAAACACCACGGACCGAACATATCGATTGGGTAATTAAAAAATGTCTTTGATGGAAAACTTTTCGCGACACATCATTCTCAATGGGCTTCCAAATAACATCACCCCAGAAAAACGCGATAAGTTCAAGAGTGCCTTCTTGAAAAGGATCTCCGAGGTCCTTGGGCACTCTCGGTTCAAACTGCACATCGTCATGGACCCCGAGGAGGGGGTGGCGAAGGGCGCTTTCTTGAGCTTCGGGACGGAAACCGACGCGGAGGCGGCGTTGGCTAAGCTGAACATGTACCACTTCACAAAATCCTCCATTTTCACGACCTACCGCTGGTCCGCCTTGGAGAATGCGAAGATGGAGGAGGAGGAGTACGTGCCGCCGCCCGTGATGGAGGAGGAAGGCACTGAGGAGGACTTCTTGCACAACATGGCCATGGATGAGCAGGCCCGGCCCCAGTTCATCGTGAAAGGTGGTCTGGCGATGGACTGCGAGTGGTACTGGTTTGACTGGGAAAGGAAGGAGCCGGTGCTTTACCGCCGCCCGAACATCCGAAAGGAGGACCCTCTCGGAAAGTGGACCGAAATGGACCGCCGTGATAAATCCCTGCGGGCTGGCCTTGTCAGCAGTGTTCTGCCGGTGGTGCGGCCGCTGCCGGTGTGGTCGACCTACGGCACAATGATGATCTCCCAGCAGACAAAGGGTCTGAGGATATGGGGCGGGCGCAGTATGCACCTCCTCTTCGAGATTATGGAAGATGTTGAGGCGTTTATGATCTCGAGCAGCGAGCGGTACATCGTCACCAAGACGGACAGGGAAGTCAGCGTGTGGAACCTTCGCACCGCGAAGAAGATTCGTGCGCTAGGAAACCTGGATCTGCACTTGGATGATCTCTGGCCTATTGTGCGTTTTAGCGCTGACGACTCCCTCGTCGCGGTTTGCAAAGTGGGGTACAACCCACACGAATCGCCCGAACCGACGGCCGGCCGCCTATCTCTTTACATCGCACGCAATATGCACCTCATACAGGGTAGCGCTAGTCAAGAGCGTTTGCAGTACACCTTTTCCATTCCTGGGCTCTACAAGGCGGAGTGGAACCCAGCCATGAAGACGCAGATCGCCTACGTCGTAGCACTTGGGCAAAAGCTGGGTTGGAAGTTGGTTATCGCGAATATGCACGTCGATCAGGGGACCAATGTGGCCACCGAGGAGCAGCTGATTCAGCGCCATTTTCTGCAGGCGACTTCGCTTGATATGCTATGGAGCCCGGCCGGTGTCCACCTCTCGATCAAGGCCACATTGAAGAACGCCACGGAGTACTTCCTTTTCCACATCGGCCCTCGCTCCGTCGCGGCGATGCAGCTGCGGATCAAGCCTAGCTATACAGCCGGACGCTTCGCATGGCAGCAGAGCGGGGATTACTTCGCAACCATACTGAACAAGTCGCAGACGAAGGATGGGACGGGCAGCGCGCAGTTGACATCCGACCTCGGGCTTTTGCAAATCCACACTATCAAGAACAACAAGCTAAAGCTCCTGCAGGAGTTGACCACGTCCATGACGCACCTTTTCTGGTCCCCAAAGGGAAGCTCCCTCGTTGCGGCGAATTTCGACAAATCCATCTTACACTTCCTATCAGTCACCGACGACGGCGCCGTAAAGGAGCACAATAAGCTCAGCGCCGTGAGCGCCACGGACTGCCAGTGGGACCCTACAGGTCGCTTCTTCGCGACTTGGGTGTCTTCACTGCGCAACACCACAATGGCCCCGCAGTACCGCATTTTTAACTGCAACGGGGCGGAGCTCTTCCGAAAAGAGTCGAAGCCGTTTTCACACTTCGCCTGGCGCCCGCTGCCGCCTTCGCTGCTTTCCGAGGCAGAGGTGAAAAACATCAAGGGTTCTGTGAAGAAACTCTTAGAGGAATATGAGGAGGCGGCGAAGGAGAAGCTGCTTATCGAAGAACAAAAGATTGCACGCAAACGGAAGGATGCCGAGGATACCTATATCAAAAGGATGAACGACCTCGCCCGGAAGATGCGAGACCAGCGGTTGGATCAGAAGAGAAGGGAGCTTCAGAATAGCTCGCGGTGGACCCGCTATTGGGCCTCCTACATTAAGGCCCTGCCAGAAGAGCGTCGTATCATCCACGAGGATTTGACAGAGGAACGTGTCATTTCAAGAAGACAGATAGGAGCAGCCACTGGGGCCATTGTGTAGCTGTTGAACCATAAAAAATACATGTTTTGTGTGGCGAGAGGAATGGGTGGGTGGTGTGGAGCAATCCCCTGCGCTTGTATTTGGTGTCAGAGTAAACAGGGCTAATGTTATAACGAACGTTAGGGGTTAATTATACCAAACCAAGCCTGCTGTGTTGGGGGGCTTCTCCTCATTGTAACACCTTTGTATTCCTCCTTTTATTGTTTCTTTGTTTTACGTAAGCAGTTTACCATAAAATGATATTACCAATAATTCAATCGATAATAAACTAAATTCGTTCAAAGCGTATGAAGAGGAATCGTTTTTTTTTTTTAACCTCTGTGAAAAAGAATCCACACTATTCGTTGCAATGGTTAGCGAGCTGTGTGTGCTGTTCTTCGACCTTCTCCTCCTGTCTCTTCCTTTTTGATTCTCTGATTAAAGAAAATACGCCAAAATGTTCTTGTTATTAAATGTAGTCAGATTTCTAACGGCGGATCTTCAAGCCTTTTACCATCCTAACAACCATCGAAAAAATTACAAAGTTTAAGCCTGTGTATCCAAGTTGCTGTGCTTTTAAAACCGTTTATTCGAAAGGTTTACAGAGGCTGAACTAGAGGAGCTAACGAGAATTCGTCTCAAAATCGAAGGGATTCTTTTTAGTGCACATCAGTTCTCCATGTGCATCCATTGCGAAGGTGCTGTAATCTGATGCCCTATTCAGCATATACCCTGTTCATGAGTCGTGGGGTTCCCTCAAGCATCCTTTCCTTTCTACTGGTTGGTGTCAGCTGATGGATATTATTCTTAATGCGGGCTCTGTGATGGACAAAGACACAGTATTTTATGCTTTTCATGGGATCCCACTTTATCTTATAGGGAAACAGGACCTTTAAACTGTTCGGTAGAATCCCAATGTGATCGTAACATCAAAAAAAAGATACGAAGGAAACGATCTTGGTAGAATATTATGGGGTTAAAAGGATTCAAATGGATTATTTCGGATGAATGCTAAAATATTTAGTCTTTTTCGCCCTTTTTATTCTATTAACATTCCTAAAAGGAGAGGTAAAGCCCGTTTCGAGCGAACACAATCGTTTATGTGGTGTACAAATGATCTCGATGGGAGCTGTATACTTCTGTTATTCAAAGAAGTAAAATATATGTCTGAATTTATGCATGCACTCAAGCCTATAGGAATCGTTTTTAAGTCCAATCTTCGACTCATGTATCCTTTATTTACATCTTCAAGCTTGTCTAGTTTGCGTTTGGGATTTAGTCCTGACATACTCACACATCCTTTCAAGAAGCCAAAAGGTTTACTATATCCGTAGGTCTTTTTTTCTGTGTAGTTTCTGAAACCCATAACGACAACCACATCCATGGCATCTGTCTTCAAGCAGAGTACACGGGTGTTTACTACTCCACTACTCAAGCCACAACGTGAATCTATTTTGGCTGCTCCGCTCTCTCCAGACGCAAAGATGCTTCTGGATTACCCCATCGAAAAGTGGCTTACCGCGCCGCGCGAGACGTTTAACGCGTACTCTCCAGGCATCTCCTCCTCTAAGGAGCTCGCGGAGCTTCCGCCGATCGATCCCACCCACCCCATCCTCCGTCGAGTCGCGCTGTATCGCGGTGCCGTCACCGAACTCGCCCTCGACGCGATCGTCAATGCTGCGAACGAGGGGCTGCTCGGCGGGGGCGGGGTGGACGGCGCGATCCACGCCGCCGCGGGTCCCCTCCTGCTGCGGGAGTGCGCCCAGTTGAGCGGCTGCCCTACCGGTGAGTGCGTGTTGACGAAGGGCTACAACCTCCCCGCCCGGTACGTCCTCCACACGGTGGGGCCGATTGGTGAGCACCCCGCACTTCTCCACAGCTGCTACCGCAATATCCTTTCCCTGGCGGTGAGCAACGGGCTACGCAGCGTCGGGCTATGCGGGGTGAGCACGGGCGTGTATGGGTACCCTGTGAGGCCGGCGACCCAGATTGCACTGAGTGAAGTGATCCTGGCGTTGAAGGAACACCCAACGGCGTTTGATTTGATCTGCTTTGCCTGTTTTCATGAAAAGTCAGCTCAGGTGCTGTTGGAGGAAATCGAACGCCTGAGGGGCACTCCTGGCGCCCTATGACAGCTGCAACTGCTCATAATATGCTCAAAAGAAATCTGGAGCGAGTCCTCTCTTCAGCCTCCTCCTCTGTTTTTATGGAGGTGCCCCCTGTGAGGGGAATCAAAAATATATACACACAAAAAATCGAACTCTAATCCTGAAGGATGTGTAACCTATATATCGTTCAATTGAGCAGTTTCTGAACTTTTTTTTGAGCTTTTGTTTGCTTAGTGATTCATGGAACTGTATTTAACTATATTTTATTGAACGATGTGAGTCTACCGGGATGACTACACCTTCGCTGGACCAACCTTCAAAAACATACACGCACGCTAAACTCCTATCCATTCACACTTCTTCAACTTCTTTCTTTTGTCTTTCTAGTAGATGTCAATTGCTTACAATGGGGAGTCATCAACTAGCTCTGCCGCTTCCGCCTGACTATGCGAGTGGCGTGGTTCAAGAATCGTATTCCTTTTTTAATTCCGCTTCACGATCCCAGTGCGACGTCCTAAATGACTATTTAGATGATCTTTGCGCCTTCTTGCATAAGTGCCGGCTTATTCAATGGCACCCGGATGATTTTTTTAACATCATTGGTGGTGAGCCTTGGCGGAGAGAGGGAAAATACCTTGACGGCAAATCGATTAGCGTGGCAGAGGTGGACTATACTGTGCGCTTGTGCAATGGACTCAGCTCCGTGCTGAATCGCGAGGACTGCATGGCGCAGATGCGCTTGCTTCTACAGGAGGGCCCACCACCTGAGCTTTCGGGCGAGGACGCGCTGCAGTCTTTCTACGCTACCACAAGGCGCCTCATGCTAAACCGTCAGCGACGACTTGATAACGACGCGGCAAGCCTGACGTTGCGGGAAAGGCTGGGCACCGACGGAGGCGAATCTTGTGGAAACGCCTCCCGAAGCTATGGTTGGCGGGAGGACGCGGCCACCCCAGTTCCGCATGGTCCCTCTGCTGCCGCGGCGGAGGGCGCCGGCCATCACGTGAGGGATCTGCCGCGCAGGCGTCGAATCCTTGAGGTGGTCCTATCCCACGGCATGAGCTCCAAGAAGCAACATGAGGTGGCCATCATGACCGACACCATCGCAGACCTCGTGGATTGCTGCGGGGGGTCTGTCCACCGCGAGCAGCCAAAACCGACGGATGCCACGGACGCGATGGCGGTGCACACGGTGATCAACATTGGCGAGGGCAAAGGCTACGTCTCGCGCGCCCTTGCGCTCTGCGACCGACTGCAGGTGGTGGGCATTGACTGCAATCCTATGCACAAGGAGGGGATGCCAAAACTAACGGAGAAACTCCTGGAGAGTGGCCTCAGCCTACAGAATGGGGAGTGCGGGAGGGATATGCTTAACCTAATGTACGAGCCACGTGGCCTCGTCGCGAGCGTTGCGTGTCGCTTAGAATCCTCTGCGGTTAAATGGGACCAGATACTTCACGGGTACGTGGACATCACACGTGATAGTGAGGCTGCTTGCTTGGTCGTTCCTACACGCAACGAGGAATGGCAAGAAGCTGCGGAGGGACGCAGAGGTTCACAGGATGACTGCGTTAGCAGGGGGGTGGTGCCCACCCAAAGTTTCTCCAAAGGGCTCCATCAAACCACCGGCAAGATCCGCTGTAAGCTATGCGGCAAGATCATGCGCTTGACAGGTGTTACTGGCATTTTGAAGCATGTAAATCAGCATTTGAGGAACAACCACAAAGTGCTGTCGTCTTCGTCACCGTCTTCGCTTTCTGTTCGATCGCCTGACGGCGATGAGGTAGTGGGGGACATTGCGACAGGGGGGGAATTTCCGAGCAGGGATACTGTAAATCAGTGGAATGTGGAGCTTCCGCAGGCAGAGTTTGCGGCGCGACTGGCGCACTCATTTTTCACCATCTCGGACACCAGCAAACGCGGCGCATCGCCGACGACAGTAACTACGGGTTCGGATCCAACCGCTACGTTCTCCAAGACGGGGTGCGACAGGGACGTGCCAAGAGGCGTCCCATCCACATCGGACGTGGAGTTCGAGGTGCTGCACCTTCCACGGGGGATGCGCGCCTCGGTGTGTGTAGCGCGATGCCGAGTACCGTATAATACCGGCCAAACTGACGGGGCCGCTTTCACGGATGGGGCTTCTGAGGGAGAGGTCCAATGGGCCTACGCCGACGCAATGCTGACGGTGGTCGGCTACGACGACGCCACGGGCCGGCATCGGGTTATCTTCGATGAGGAGTCGAAAAAACAAAGTTACCTGCTATTGCGCTACCCATCCGGTGGATTATCGTTAGGCTCTGCGACATCCATGGCGTGCGGGGCTGAGGGCGAATCAGCGGCGGCGCCTCGTCGGATTCCTCATGTTGCGCCCCACGTGTGGGCAAAGGCGAGACAGGCGCTCGTGCACGAGGTGGTGCCGATGGCGTCCTTGCTCAGGTACCCCCTACTCCTCCCCTCGCTTCGCAATGCGGTGATCGCCGGGCTGCACCCGTGCGGGGACCTGGGGTCGAACGTGTGCCGCATCTTCGCGGAGAGCAAGGCGCGCGGGCTCGTTCTCGTGAGCTGCTGCTGGCACGCACTGACGCGCGGCGGGTTCCCACTTAGCGAGGCCGTACGGCAGCGTGGAGTGGCGATTGACAATATCTCTCTCCTCCTCGCGACGCAGCCGTTTGACAAGTGGGCGACGGCCTCCTCTGAGGGCCACCACAGCTCCGCCAAGGTTCTCTTTTTTCGCAGTTTGTTGAGCACGATTTGGGCTAACTGGGGCTTAGCCTGGCCTACCTCCGCAGAGGCTCTACGGTGCCACGAGGCATGTGAGAGACTCCAAGAGGCATCAAGCTCGTCGCCGACCTTGACGCCAGCGGTCCCCTTTTCCCCATGCCCATTTGCACCGCTTCCACATCTCGAACCCGCATTATTGCGCCACATCACGAAGGTGAAGGATACGTTGTCTTTCAGTGAGTTTATTGATCTTGTCATGCGGGAGTATATTTACGTGGACACGGCGAAAAGTACGGAATATACCTGGCAGACCACCGTGTGCGGGGGATGTCGTCAACAACAAGAGCTTTTCCTTCGGGCATCCATGACGGTCGCCGTGGAAACAGGACACCATTATTATCAAAAACACTTTGGAGCCTTTCTAGGGTTCACTGTGCTTCGCATCTGGATGTCCCACCTCACGGAGAGCCTTCTACTTTTGGATCGTGCTTTGTACCTTCATGAGGCTCTTTCTGCAGGATCTGGGGATCTCACGTCATCGTGTGTGTCTTTAGTACCACTGTTTGATGGATTCATTTCGCCTCGTATGTACGGTATCCTAGCACGACGATTTTAAGAGTGTCGTAATCTATTTGTTATTGGACCCTAATCCAGTTTAATTTCTATAAGGGGAAAGTATATGGTTAACTCAACCCACTGCATTTGTGTTTAGTCTCTTCCTTATTGATTTGATGAGGGTATTTGCATGTGTTTCTACTGATCGGCTATTTCAGCCTTGGATTCGTGTTTTGGTTAATGTGCGGCGTAAAAGTCAACCTGCACACCTTCTATCTCATAATTAAAACTATCTAATAAGGACTGCACTAAGTTACCAAATACGAATTACTAAATTACTTACAAATTTATAAATAAATATAAATATAAATATATATATTATTTACTTATATCCGGACTTTTTCCATAAAAGAGAAAATAGCATTAGCTTTTACATCTGATATTTTATACTACAAAGGCTTTGTCATTTCGGTAATCCTTTTCTTTTCTCCCACGGCTTAGAAGGCTGAATAACGCTGCCTTTTTTGTCATTAAGCCCGTTTTTGATAAATAATTACAATTTTTGAAGTATATTTTCATATTGTTTAATCGGGTTAGCTGCTATTATTTTTAATCTCTGCGTTACATTACACTGACTAGCGAATTAACAAGTTCATTTTTATTTTATTATAAAGTCTTAGGTGTTTTTTTTCACCATTTTTTATTACAATACACGACTACCGGGTACGCACATTGAGGAGCGTAAGCTTTTGCTTGAATCACAGTGATCATTATAACAAAGGCTTATTCTCTCGCATTAAGTGGAGTTCTTTTCAGACCAAACATAACTAGACGAATTCGTTAAGATAGAGCAAAGAGGTTGCAGTATTATTAGTTGGGTTGATTTATTTTAGCATAGTGTTTTCTCTCACGCTTTCAAACTCATTTTTTTTTTTTTGCATAATCTGGATTTTAGGTATACAAGGCCTAGTCAACTTCTCAGTTATTCTATTGTGGTTTCCTTCAGGTTCGAGATCTACACCTATCACGACTTATTCTTGTCATTTTCACGTAGCCCTGCTTTCCACTCTTATAAGCTTTTAGTCTCCTAATTTCTTTCCATAAATGCGACCCGTTCATGGAGTGGCTGGAACAAGCGAATCAGCGCGTTCACAATCTTATTCACACTCACCATATACACGTTTTTTGTGCAGCGAGGATGCTTCCCCCCCCTTTCCTATTGAACGGTTTCGGGGTGATTCAAAGATAAACTTGAGTCAGTGCAACTCACCGCACTCAAGCACATACGCCTCCACGGGTGGTTGCCTCTCGGCTAACCCCAAAGTGTCCACCCCAGGCCCGAGCGACGCAGAGCTGGTGTCGTCGCCGATGGCCAGGGTGGGTTCCGTGCCCATCCAAGTCACGCCCTCACTGAGTGTGAACGCACGCCACCGCCGTAGTATCCAGAGCCCACACGTCGTGGGGAGCAATTGTAGTGAAAATGGCAATGGTGCCCTCCTGTCGTCCTTCATGACCCCTCCCTTAAGTGGCAACGCTATAGGCTTGCAGTCCTCACAGGGGCAAGAGGACGGATCGGGCTTCATCGGCTCGTTGAGCAACGGGGACCGCACGCTCGGCTTGTCTCACTCGTGGCGCCCCACGAGGCCAAGTGGTCCGCTGGTTGGTTCTGCCCCGGCTTACGGCCCCGATGAATCTAGCAGAGCCGTCGATGCGGCTATGGTCTCGAACCATCAATACGGTCCACCGCTCCCACAGTCGAGCCCGTACGGGTATCCGCTCCCTTCGCCACCATTGCAAAGCCATTCATACGCCCCATCTGGGTTTGTCGCTCCAAATCTCATATCCTCGTCTAACCGAGGCGTAGGCTCACCCACACTATCTTCACATCATGGCTGGATTCCGGGCAATAGTGTACGTTCAGAATCCGAGTTCTCCGGTGTTCCCAACATTGGCAGCTTTACGCATACCATGGTTGCCCCGACTTCACGGCCAAGTAGCTATTATAACCGCGGTTTGAGCATCCAGGCTAACACCCCGCAGCAAGCCTTAGGCCATGGCGTCACCTGTGCGTGCAGGGAGTCTTCAGAAGTCTCTCCTCATATGTCATCAGAAGGTGTCACTACGCCCATGGCAGTGACCCGCAAATCCAAATTTACTGATGAAACTGACACTTGCTCGAGCCAATCGGGAAGCACTGCTGGGAGCATACGGGAAGACCTGCCACTGTGTCCAAAAGATGAATTATGCCCCCGAATCAATAACCGGAAACACCAGTACAAGTACGCCCACACCTGCCGTCTGTTTCCATGCTACCACGGCCATGTCGTGCGCCACGCGAGGCTGTTTCGTCATGTTGAAGGGCAAATTGCCCAGCCCGCAGGGTTTGATGCGAGTAGGATGTCTGTACACACCTTGGCGAGTGTGAACTTTAGTCAGATCAGTATGGAGGCGCCTAACGCGTACCGGATTTATATTTCACACGGCGATAAAAGCCATGAGATTTTTGGGGATTGGGCTAGCGTAAAGGTACACACCTTCAAAAGGTATCTCCATCAGGTCTACCACATCCCTCCTTCGTCACAGAAGTTGCTTTCAGTGAAATCTGGCAAAGTTTTAGACGACGAAATTGTTAGCGTTAAGTCCTATGACATTGGCGAGGATGCCGTGCTCCAGTTAGTGGATACCAGTAGGGCCTCGGACCATCAGATGTGCCGCATTCCTTTCGATGAGCTCTAGGTTGCCAGTTCTACACGTGCGTTTTATGGTGCAAAATCAACGTAAGGAGGGGGAAAGGAAAGAGCGTGCCGATGAACATACTTTCAAGGAAAGAATCGGAAAACGGGAATGGCGAAATTGATATGAAAGGTTGTGCAGTATTGTATTTGTTAGTGAGAAAATATATACGTTTGTAAAAGGGAAGAGGTATGTTTCTGTGTTGAAATGGATTGTAGGCAAAGATGAACTAGGCCTAATTTTGCTTGTACGTGTAAGAGTGCATGCATATATGTACGCATATATTAGTTTTTATATCCCTGCATTGCTATGAGATCAATATTTTTAATATTTAATACTCTGATATGCAAAGGACGGAAAGGGCCCTGTGGACGAGGTGGTTGGCTTTGTTGGTAATCGTCTAAGAAGGGTGTTTTTATTTTTTGAACAACAGTCAAAACGTTGGAACAAGTAAGAGTAGTAAAACGAATCTAAATATAAAGTCCACTTTTCAGTAACATAATTATAACAGGTCAAATATAAAAAAACACCGTCATTGAACTTCAAGAAGAGCTAATCAAAATCGTGGACTACGGAGCAAACCAAAGTAGAAGGGTGTCAGATGATTCTGCCAATGAGTGCCTTTTAGTGCATAATATACACTCTATTGCGATAACCACGCGGTTTTTTATTTTAGCCTTTCCATTTTGGTATATTATAGCATATTGAATTTTATTCGGCTTTCCACGATATCTGTGGGACCAGTACCTTTTTCCGCCTTACTTGCCCCGACGTTATCCGCCGTATTTCCGTGTTTGAATAGGCTCCTTTCAACTTCATGGGGAGGACTGAAATGAGGAAAACGTTATCGCATTCACAAATTTAAGGTGCTAGTAAGAGATAGTACGAGAGATACATGATTGTCAATACCATGTAAGATTTCGTTATTAATTTCTCCCATTTTAACCGATCTTATAGGATAAAACATCGCCGTACCAAGCTCCCAAGTCTACACTTTTTATCACATTAAAATAGACGAACAGTTTTTAACTCCCATGAAAGGGGAAATCACTACAAGTGTTTCACACATCCAAAATAGTGAGATTTCCCCAGAGAAGTGAGTAATTTTGATACGTTTGTCTGCTCTTTATGCAAAGTTTTGTATGCGTGATAACGCAGTAAAGTAATCTTATTTTATAAAGTAAAAACTCTTGTGTTGTAAAGGCTAGATTTAATATTAATTAATGGCTGTGATTGTCGTGAGAGGTGTGAAAAGTAAATGTCTTGTGCGTATCTGTGCTTAACAATGGAAGAAGCGTCCTTAAATCCTTCATTTAATTACGGAATCTATATTTTATTGTTCAGTACATTATTAATATTGCTCAAGAACTACATCAATAACGATACTCTATTGGAAAGCGCAGGCGGGAAGTTATTTCTTATTCTCCTTCTACAAAGTTTATGCCCATGTGAAATGGCGAAAAGAACCGACCTTGTTAGACTCTAGCTTCCCTTTTGTTAGGATGAAGTTTTACCCTACGATTGTCCGATTGATATAGAACACATTTTTATTCGTCATAATCTCATCTGTGTCCATTTGCGTTTAGTAATGGTGGTCGAAGATAGGCTCAGTGGTGCATATTGACTTCTTTTTTTTTCCAACGCAGAGGCCCTCTTCATGGATTATACATCAAATTTTCGAAATGTTTTTTTTTTTGTTGACTTCTTTTAGGGTTGTAGGGGTTCATTGCAATTTCCTTGTTTGACTTTCTTTTGTTTCGAAATTATGATCTCGTCGTCTTTATTATCTCTCTATAGGGTTTTAGTGGTATATCTTTTACTGTGTTCACGACGGACGAAGATATCTTTCTTCGTCTTTTGACTTCTCAAATTGTGGTTTTCCACGAATTCAATGATACGAGTGCGTGGAAAATTTAATTAATTATACCGTTTCCTTAAATCAATCTAAACTGGAATCACCTTTGATTTTATCATTTATTTATCGAATCCTATTCTAAGGAAAATTCAATTGTTTTTATTCTTTTAATTAAACCACATTTAGCTTTTGATAATGTTCACGTTTGTTCACTAAACATCTGAGTAGTTGATTCATGTGAGGACACCATTCTTATATCTTAACTTTTTGAGCTAATTGTTGATATTTTACGCTTTCAATTTTCCTATACTACCTTTCATTTTCCTTCGTAAACAATGCCAACCATGCCCGTACTGTTGATATTTATTGTCCAATGGCTTCGAGCTGTCATAATTATTTTAACAAGACATTACTACTCGGACTATTTCTTCTATATTTTCATCTAATCTTATGAAATTCTTTCCCCTCCTTCACTTTTGTTCTTTAAATTAGGTGGAGGGAAGGCATGATTTTTTCCAAAAATTCAGTCAAGGAGGAAATCATGTTTGCTAACCTTTTAAGACGATTGAAAGGGGATCTAGTGGGTATTCCAGGAGTGGTATATAGCGACCAAATAGATATTGACAAAGAATTGGAAAGACATCAGTCGGTACGATGGCTCGGAGAGTTGCGTAATGCCCGCATGGAGACGGTACCTTCTGAGCTTGCGGAGGCCGACGTCACCCAGCAGCACTCCATTCCCGGCCCTGAGGATCAACCCTATACATTTTGGGAACGCGTTGGGTTGGTGCCAGTGCACCCTTCACGAGTTCGCGCTCGGCAGTACTACCACCCCGTCACAGATTTTGCTTTGTACGACTACGACGAGGTTTCACCGGAGGAAAAGGAGCTGACCGCTCGGTGGATGGTGCGGGTGATGGAGTTCAACACCGCCGTTCCGGCGGGAATCCTATGCACCGCTGCCTGCCTTCTTCTGCCTCTCCACACGGTCTACCGGATGCCACTTCTCACCGCCGCTGCGGTCACTGGTGTGGGGGTCGAAGTGACTCGGTCCTACATGGCAGCCTTTAAGGAAAGACAGGATTTAGATGACTTTATCTTAGCCAAGGAGATTTGGTACATCAAAAATGTCGAAACCTATCAGCTAGGGATTCCACGTATGCCACGTGGACGGGAGAGGGAATATCAATCATATCTTGATTCAAGTAATCTTTCTCAGACAAGGGAGTTACCACAAGAGTTGGTAGACAGTTTACGCTTTTAGTTTCTTTTTTCACTGTATGCATGCTTGTATGAGGAAACTGGGAGGGAAGGGGACAGGTCCTACACGAAATTTGGAGGAGTATGAGTGAACTAATCAAGTGCATATGCCTTCCATATGATGCCGATGACACGTTAATTTACATTTGCCGCTATGACAATTCTGTCATGAAAAAAAGGAAAAGTGCGTATGTTGTCGACAATGTTATTGTAAGATTCAGATGGAGCGGGGAAAAGCACTCATCACCACTTTCTAGGGACGTAGACGTAGCGTTTCATTTTTTTCTCAGTCAATTATTCTTAGAAAACGTGAAGAAACTTCCACTACGAAAAGCTAGAAAGACCCGCAGCAAGTTTACCTTTTCTTCTTACTTGTTGTGGGTCTTTTAAAGCGTTCCCTACTTCTTCAATATGCAGTCATACGCACTGCGGACGTCCAAGCTCAAATCGCTTAAAGTGGTAGCCACCGCAGTGGAGGACTCGCTGTGCATTCCAGTGGTTATTGCCGTTTGTGGCGCCTTTAACCCCATCCACCATGCACACATAGCACTTTATGATATGGCTGAAGCCGCACTGACCTCTCCTTCGGCCTGCGACGCTGCTACGGGGCGGCCATATTTGGTTCTTGGCGGTTACATCTCACCTGTAGGCGATTCGTATGGGAAACCGGGCCTACTGCCGTTCTCACAACGTGTGGAAATTGTTGAAGCAGCGGTGAGGGATCACCCTGCTATCGAAGTGGATCGCTGGGAGGGACTACAGCCCACTTACACACGCACTTACTACGTTCTTGAGCATTTGCAAGAAGCCGTTCAGGCCTGGTATGATTCTCAGGCAAAAGAGGGGAAACCCAGCCTAAGTGAAAGAGGTGTAAGGATCCGTGTTGCTTTTGCCTGTGGTACGGACTTATTGCAATCTTTTTTGAGGCCAGGTTGTTGGAGGTTAGATTTGCTCCAGAAGATGTTGGATAGGTTCCAGGTGGTAGTCATTACGCGCTCTGAGAACGACTTCGATCGCACTAACGACAATCGCAATGTCTCTTTGTCCAACATCATGGTTTCAGGAGATGAGGCAGGAAAAAAGGGGGAAGCTTCCGTGAGTGAGATAGGCCAAGTATTGCCCGAGAATTGCGTCATGACACAAGTGATCGACGGGGAGACTTATGTAGTTGATTTTTCCAAGTATCGGTTCATCTATACGCAACCCACTTTCATCTCTTCGGCTTCCTCAACAGCGATTCGCAAAGCTCTATCTGCTGTCGCAGAGGCAGTTAGCCGTAATGATACTGCGGCAGAGCAGGCAGCGCGAGAAGAAGTAATAGATATGGTCCCCGAGGCTGCTCGCGATCTCGTCATAAAGTACTATTTTCCTTTATTTTGCAGGTAGCAAGTCGATTAAAGAAAACAAATAAAAGACTTAACTAATGATTCATGAGACTGTCGCGTGTTAGCTTATTGTCTCTCTACAGAAAACTTTCCCCAGCCGCAGAAGCTATTTGCAGGGTTTTTCGCACTCTTCTCCTATACTTGCAAACACGACACTAATGAGTGTTGTTATATTCACGTTTGCTGTGTAAACAATCATATGAAGGTGCTAGGAGCCACAAAGGGAGGTAGCAACGTTCTGAGGATGAGTCGAAAAGGCGTACTGTTCAGTGCTTTGGTCGCTGCCCTTCTTGCTACCTATCTGTGGTGGGTTCTGGGTAGCACAGGAACCCTGATGATGCAAACGGGGGCTAAAGACGGCGAGACCCACTTGGTATCGTTCGACGTAGTTAGTGAGTTTTTCAGCGACGCAGGAAATTTTTCATGTCCTCAGGAACGCTACTTTACACGCGAGGAAATTGCTCAACATATCACTCCTAACGATTTGTGGATTGTTATTGATTCAAACGTGTTAGATGTAAGCGGATTTGGAGAGATGCACCCAGGTAGTGAAATGATGCTGTTGGAAGGTGCTGGAGGTCGGGATATGGCAGCTGTTTTTGCCCAGTTTCACCCACCATCTGTGGTCACTTCTTTCAAACACTTCTGCATTGGCCGAATCATTAACTTTAGTGGGTAGTTATTTTCTGTGTCCACATATTATTATTAATCAATCGAGATGTCTTCTAACGTGTGTCACCAAAGGAAATATATTTTTTACAAGTTCTCACTATTGTCAGGTTTCTCAACGGTTATCCTTTGCCTTCTTTGGCAGTCTTTTGGTAGAAAGTGCTTTGATTGATACCTCTTATTTCTTAAACGATACGTCTTACCAAGATTTTTTTTTTCACTTCATCTCATCACCCATGGCAGAACTGGCATTGCGAGGAACACTATTATTGCTTCAAAACCGCACTCGGCGCGACCCGGAGTCGTATCGCGAAGAATTTCTTGCCCAACTAGAACATTTTTTGGCATCCAGCGCAACGGTAACCTCCCAGAACGTGGTTAACCCCCAATACATAGCAGTGCTTAATTATTTAACTCATGTCAGTCACTGCTTCCCAAAGGAGTCTAACTCGGTAGCCATGGCTGTACTCAAACTACTACGTCACTCTCGAAACGGCGGTGTCCCACTTGAGTTACGTGAAGCTCTCGTCAAGGCCTTGATTTTGCTACGCTCCAAGGGCCTAGTAAGCACCGATGAAACGTTTCCCATGTTCTTTACATTGCTACAAGAGCGCAATAAGTCCATCCGAAAGTTAATTCTATCGCATATTGTAAGTGATGTTCGGCGAGCTAGTCTTCCTGGAACCAAGGGAGGTGCCTTAACACATAAAAAGGCTCAGAATTTTCTGTTTTCCGTTATGGAGGAAGACGACCCAATTCAGGCCAGGTGCGCGGAACTTGTCATGATAGACCTGTACCGCCGGCGGGTATGGTGCGATGAGCGAACGGTGGAGGTGATGACGAAGGCATGCTTTTCGCGGCACACTCCCATTCTGCGCACCGCGCTGCGCTTTTTCCTGATGCAGATGCCCAAAGGGTTGTCTGCCGACGATGACAACGACAATGACGCTGAGGTGCAGGACCCCGGCCGTTCAATTTCAAAGCTAAAGCAGAAGTTAAAAATTGTCAAAAAGACCGCAAAACGCGACCGTGTTTTGAAGCGAACGATGAAAAACATCAAAAGAAAGTACGATAAGGACGAACGTGACGAGGAGTTGCAGGCGAAGCAACATGTTGACCCGATCCGGTTGCTGCGAGATCCTCAGCAGTTCGTGGAGCGACTCCTGGCCAGACTTCAAAAAACGTCGGAGCGCTTTGAAGTGCGCATTTTGTACCTAAACGTCATTGCTCGCACAGTCTCCGAGTACGAGGTCATTCATTTGCCATTGTATGGATTTCTGGAGCGCTACATGGAACCCTCACAACTCCATGCCACGCAACTTCTCGCCCTGTCGACGATGTGTGTCCATCGCATGATCCCACCGGATGTGGTCGAGCCATTAGTGAAGACGATTGCCAACCATTTTGTTACTGATCGATCGTCGGCAGATGCTATTACTGTTGGTCTCAATACTATTCGCGAGATCTGTAAACGGCAGCCCCTTGCTATGAGCGAAGATTTACTAAGGGACTTAGTTGAGTACAAGAATCAACGGGGAGATAGGGGCGTCATGATGGCCGCACGGGCGGTCATTCAGCTATACCGCGACGTGTACCCCAGTCTTTTGCCAGCTAAACTGCGCGGTAGCAAGGCGGGCGCACCTGAGGATAAGGAGCGACCCATCTACGGCTCACAGCACGTTTACAGCGACATCCCAGGACTCGAGCTGCTATACCGAAACACCGCTGCTTCCGGGGATGGGAGCTCCCGAAGCGACAGCTGCAACTCAAGTGAGGAAAACAGCGACACCGGGAGCGAGAGTGGGGAATGGGAGACCGACACCGACAGCGACGTGGACCCTGAGGAGATTGAGGGAGACTTCGTTGACGTCACCGAGAGCTCAGACGATGGCGGAGACGATTGCCCTCAACTGATCCCCGTTGGTCTTAGCCCCACTATGGGGCTAAAGGCCCGCCACGCCGCGCCGTGCGACGACGACGATCCTTCACGGAAGAAGCCCCGTCTTGTCTCGTCTGTAGACTCCCATGATGAGAGCGACAGCGAGGACTCCAGTCTAGACCTCAGTGACGGCGAGTGTGACGAGGAGGAGGAGGAGGAGGACGTTTTCGAGGAAGAAAGTGGAACTGAAAGTGGTGGTGGAGATTCAAGCGAGGAGGATAAGGACGACGAAGAAACGGAACGCCCCACACTATCAGCTGCATTGGTAGCTGCATCTGCCGAGGACTGGTACGAGGATGTTAATGATGGCGACGAGATGCCTCATCGGCCTCAATCCTTGCGCAGCACGTCTACTACCGCTACAGCTGCCTCCATCTCGACAAATCGTATTCTAACCGATGCAGACTTTGAAAAGATTCGCAAGCTTCAAACGCAGAACGGTAGCCACCAATCTTTGCATGGGAAGCTTAAAGACAGAGATGCACGCACTAAGCGGCGACATGATCTCATCCATGGAATTTCATCTGACCTTTCAGCTTTAGATATAGAGCACTTTACCGAAAAGAAGCGAGAAATCGACAAGCAGGAAAAGATGGAGCGCACCCAAGAGCTTCGCAAAGCAAGCTCAAAGTTTGAGATTCGGAAGAAAACAAAGAGCAAGCTCAATTCCACTCACGGTGAGCATGCCAAGCGAGGAAAGTTGTTCCAAATGACAAAGCGCTCGCGGCGTGTGGCAACAAAACTCAAGAGTTCTATAGCAGATCGCGCACAACGCGCGAAAGACATGAAGAAAAAGGATGTCAAGTTCCGTATCAAACGAGGGTGGAAGGCATGAAACGGTTGAGGATCCTTTGTCGCGTTTATTGTTTTTTTTTCTACTTTCCGTGTAACAGACTTTAATGACAACTACGTTCGGTAGCATTGCCGAATTAAAATGGGTTTTTGTAAGGTGTAACTCATAAGGAGTTCCTCTAAGATAAATTAATCACATTCCTACGATATCACTTGAGAATAGGACGAGCGGATTGTGCGATAAAAAACGAATTGTTTCTTTATCATCATATTCTCCCCTTTCAAATGCTTCTGGTTGTTCTCTATCTATCTATCCATCCATCTCTACTCGCCTGATCTTTTGATTTTATAGTGCAAGAAATACTTTCACTTGATGAGGCTGTCCCATGTCGTTTCAAGTGTTCTTTGCGCTATCCATGAGCATAGTGAATCCTGAGCATTTGTGCTGTTCACCATTCTTCGAACCAGAGAGTGTCCGTCTGGATACGTCTTCACCAAGTGTTTTCAAAGCAATGTCCAATTACGTGTTTTGTACCAGGCTGGCCCTGAACGCACATGTTATCGGCTTTTGTCAGCCTACTCTTCAGCAGTGTGTAGAGGATTTCAAGATGGAAGTGAAGGCTAGCACCATTATCGGCGATCCGTTGGCGCTGCAGAACGTTCTGGCACGTCGACGCGGCGAGGTTGAGGTCAATACACTCCCATGGAAACCTCGGGAGGAGTATCAAGCGTGGCTCCGGAAACAAGGGAGGCTAGCTGGTGACACACGAAGCAATTAAAAAAGCTGTGTTTCTCTTTAACAGTTATTGGTAGTCTTTTGTTGGATCTTTTTTTGTACTCTTCCACCTAAATGCACTAGCTTATGCTATTTTTGTTTTCTACCCTTTCATTTGTTTGGTTTTTGATTTGTTAGTGTTCCAATAGCTTATTTGAGAATCACATGTCTTTTTTTTGAAATGAATTCGCAACATATCATACGGCCAACCGATTCGATCTCTCCATCGGTTCTCAATGCGGAAAACTTAAGGTGGCATCACTCATCTTCACGTCACTCCATTGTTTCAGGGCTTGCGCAAGCACGCGGGAGCATTAGCCACACTCCAATTCGTAGGCCTTTCACTAGCAGAGGACCGAGCTTTTCCAGCACTTCACACAGGCCCCTTCACAATGCGCCGTTCTTAGTTGAGGATCACACCTTTTCGAAACCAGAGGACACACGCTCCCATTTTCAAGACATGAAACACTATGTATCGAAAGCTGCCATGCGCTCTAGGGAAATTTCACAAACGCTGATCAAGAACCTAGAAGCTTACCACACGCTTCACTCTCTCCTCGGGAATCATGGCTCATGTGACGAGGGTGGTGGCAAGAAAGCTGGCACGTATCCCTCAGCCATTAATTTAGCCTCTCGAGATGGTTCGATAGTAAAATTTCAAGTGAACTCTTCACATGTGCTGAACCCTATGTGGAAGAGCATCGACAACACCCTCAACGCTGCCGCATCATTTGCCATTCGACATAGCTTTGAAAGCCACTTTGCTACTACTATGGCTTCCATCGGAGAGCGATCGTCCTCGATCAATCCTTTCACGGTCTCCGCAGATCAGTACTCACAGGTTGACAGCAACGCGCACCCACTTTCCCATCTCATTGGACCCTCTCTAGTTGATGCTGGGGATTTACCCGACTATGCTTCCTCTCCTTTTCTCGCGAAGGCTAGCATTGAGAGCCCAGATGCGTTGGCTGAAGAGATTTTTATCAGTGCATGGACACGGGACCATCAGGACGCGACTCCAGCGCAGATTCAGCAGAGACTTTCGGAGTGGCGAAAGGATCAGATGGGTCGCATGCGCCTTCTATTGCGTCAGGAAGTCTGTAAGCTTCATCAAGAACTAGAAGAGCAGCGCGAGATGGCGGGCACATCCGGCGACGAAATACGCCTGTCCATGCCCCTTGACCTTGATGGCACTCTAGGGAAAGCAGCCGTCGAGGTGCGTGATGCGGAGAAAGCCGAGGCCCATCGGCAGCGGTCCATGTGGAAGCGTTTCATTGAAGACGATCCGGTGTCATCGAAGACGAAACTGCTTCCTATGATGGAGGTTGGTTCATCGGAACTTGGAGCGTCGTCATTGAGCATTGTGAAAGATTACGCTGCCGATCGTTCGGTTACAGATTGGTTAAGAGGTCGAGGTTGGATTCATCGAACCCATCTCCACGAGGCCGCCGCGTTGCTTATTCAGTGTGTCTTCCGGGGCTACTCTGCGAGAAGAAAGGCCCAACGTCTGCGTGTAGCACGTTTTCTGGCATTCAAGAAGACCTTGAAAACAGAGGAAGAGACAAAAAGACAGTGGGAGGTATCTCTGAAGATTTTTGAACAGGGGTCAAGTCAAGTTCAGTCCACCCGCAGACTTAATGCACTCCTATTTTTTGAGAATAAGATGAGTGCCATCATCAGCATGCGTCGTACCCGGAACGCAGCACGTGCTGCTTCTGAAGCTGAAGTCGTCAATTTTGCTGCGACAAGTATTCAACGTGTTTACCGTGGACACCGTGCGAGGCGTCTGGTCTATGGCATGCGCCACCCAGAGTGGCTGGCGGAAGTGTTGCTTCGACGTCAAACACAGGCTGCTCTGCGCATTCAGACCGTTTGGCGTAGCCACCACGTGCGCAGTATTCTCCGCCGGCGTCACAAAGCAGCGTGGGTAATTCAGAGAGCCTATCGCTTTCATTGTGCACGTGCGTTGCTGACACGCCTTCGCCTGAAGCTAAAACGGAAGTCTGTTGAGGACGTCCGCATTTTTGCGATACAAATTATCGTGAGATTCTTGAAGAGATGCTGCTCTAAAAGGCGCACTCAAAAGTGCCATTGTGTAAAAGCGGCTGATGACACCGACCAAGAGATGGAACAAACTGAGGAGAAAATGTAAAAAAAAATGACAACACTAATTATGTAAGAAAGTGATTGCAAGCATGCATAATTTTCCCTTCTCCTGTCCCATATGGGGGAAAAAAATTCTTCTTGGGGTAGCAAAAAGCGGCAACAACATCATCTGTGTATGCGCTCGCTGTAGAGGCTGCATTTTGAGGATTGTACTGGAGAAGCATGTGGGGGTTACATTCGGTATCACCATCCGCTTAGGCTTCAAAATTTTTTATCAAAAAAAGTGAAAAAAATATCGGGTGTAGATTCGGTACTGTGCTGAACGATGCCCAAAGGTACGCTAAAAGTGTTTATTATCTCTTTTCCCCCTTTAAGAGTCATTTTTTTCTTATCTCTTAACACTAAGTTCACAAGCCTCACTCATTGAATTTTTTGACCTTGTCACAATTCTATCTGAATAGATCCTGATCGATTTAATTTTGGCTGCAAATACGCTCTTTCTTGACCCAGACTCACTTTCCGACCACAATGTCTATCACTGAGGCAGAGCTCAGTGCGGCGATTGAGGTGGCGTTATGTGCAGCTCGCAACGCCACTGATATTATCAACAAATCCATTGACGAACGCTCTGCGCCCATCACGAATGTGAACACAAAGAGCAACTCTACGGACTGGGTCACCCAGTATGACAAGCAATGTGAGGAAGAGGTGCTAAGTGTGCTGCGCGCTGGAACCCCAGACTACGCCATTATCAGCGAAGAGACGCAAGCCGACGTCCCACTTGATGACAGCCCAACATGGATTGTAGACCCGATTGATGGCACTACTAGCTTTGCGCATGGGTTGTATGACTGCTGTGTGTCTATTGCGCTTGCGGTCAACAAGGAGCCTGTTCTGGGGGTTATCAGTGCGCCACGCTTACAGGAAATCTACACCGCTGCCAAGGGGCGCGGCGCGTATTGCAATGGGCAACGAATTCACGTATCCCATGCTACAACGCTAAATGAGTCTGTCGTCATTATACATCAACCCTACAACCGCAGCAAGGCGTGTGTCGAGGCTGTACTCAACACGCAGCGCGAATTTATGAAGCTCCCCGTGCACTCTGTCCGGTGTTACGGCTCTGCAGCACTGGATATGTGCTTCGTTGCGTCTGGGAAGGCAGATTTATACTTCGAAGTCGGATTCAATGCATGGGACTATGCAGCTGGCGCAATCATTGTACGTGAGGCTGGTGGTGTGGTGCACGATGTAAACAACCAGAACTCGTTAGACTTGATGGGTAGGGGAATGTGTTGTGGATCTAGCAAGGAGGTTACCCTCAAGGCTATTGAGGTTATGGAAAAGTACAATTATCGAGATGCTGTCTGGACTTTGGATTAGGCTCACGTACTGTTCATTTTTTTTCTGATTTGTTTCCGTCTTCAAAAATGTCAAGGAGAGGATTTCTCTTCTGCCATAGCGATTTTGCGTGTGGCGAGTGCATTTCCTTGTCTTTCCCATATTTGTGCATTTTTACCGTTCTGATTTTACCGTAGTGTATGTCTACGTGAATTGGGCATAGAAAAGATAAAATTATATGGACTATTTTTATCGCTACTGATGAGAAAAATTCTAGTATATGCTTGAAATAGCAGCATACCCGGTGTGTGTATCCTGGCAAAGAAAAATATACCCTGCTGGCATTCCTTTCCCTCCCTCACGCACATGTATCCATGGAATCATGTATATTTACTAGGGATATGTTTCATTGCTTCTTTTTGTCGTATACCCTAAAGTTTTTCTCTCTTTTGAAATAATAATAATAATCTGACTTCTTACACGGTCTTGCTTCACAAGACTACATTAGCTGCTCTAATGAGGTCTCAGATTAATGGTCCTAGCCATGACGAAATAGAGAATCAGTTGCGCGAAATTAAAAATGAGGTAAACTCAGCCTCCCTTCTCAGCCGTCCCGACATACTCAATCTCACATGTGCATTGGCGCGTGAGTATGAAAACAATGACGAGTTTTACAGTCAAGTGCTCTCGCTGTTTTCGGCCTCCTCCAACCCCAACTCCAACGCTTGCGTTTACAGTTCCATTCGTTATGCCAGACGGGATGGTAATTGCTTCTATCGCTGTGTTGCCTTTCGACTGTGTGAGTTGATTCTTCGGGATATTGAATTTGCGCACCAAACACTGACCGATATGCGAAAGACTATCCGGCCGCGCATGCATCAGCAGTTTGGGGAGTACAGTGACGATTTTTGTGATGTGGCAGAAGGTCTCGTCGAGCGTATTTGTAACGGGGAACTAAGCACTGTCGACACGGTCTATGAAGCCGTTATCAATGAAAGCGAGGCAGACTATCTCATCGTGTACTTTCGCTATGCCGTGTCCATTTACCTGCGTGATCACGCCGACGAGTTCATTCCCTTTGTGATGGGTCTTGGCTACTCTACCATAGAGCTGTACTGTGAGGCCGAGGTGGAGCCATTTTTCAAGGACAGTGACAATGTCGAAATCGTAGCATTCGCGAAGCTTTTCGATGTGACAATTCACGTCGAGGTGTTGGACCCCAAGGCGGGACAGCTAACTACTCTTGAGATTGGTTCAAGATCGGGTGCGGAAGTTTCTCCTTCCCGTATGGTATACTTATTATTCCGACCTGGGCATTACGATTTGCTCGAGTTGTAGTCCGATCTTCCTGCGCGTTTACCATTGCCTTTTTCTTCTTTAGGTTTGTACTAATGGTATGTTTATAGATATTCCATGCGACTTTTGTAATTCTCCACGATTTAAAACTCCCTATTTGTGAGTCACAACCCAAATCTTACTCATGATATCAGTAAACGATTGCGACTAGGCTGATCTCGTAGCTATTTTGTTTCGGAAACGATAGAGCACATCATGAAGCCGTATCGGTGTTTGCACACGTGCGCAAACCCACAAATTTGAACTCTGGGTAATTTGGGGTCGATGTGCGGCGTAGGGAGTTAGTGATGGTGGTGGACGTGGGCCATAAGGCTGAACTGTTTTTTCGCTGCGCGTCCTGCTTTAGGCAGGGGAGGAGGAGGTGTGGACGTCGTCGGACCTGCAGGGTACCAAACTAGTGTGGAGAGGTGAAGGGGCTGCAATTTACTGCATAGCGGTAGACGTTTCTAGTAAAACGACTCTCAGACGAAGGGACAGCAGAACTTTTAATGGTCTTTCTATGAGCAAGCGAAGTTAACCTATTCAAGAAGGGGATGACAGGTATCCTCGATGTGTAAGTCAAGGCAGTTGCGTTCAGCTCAATTACTTGAGAACTTGATTTTGTTCGGAAGGGGTTGCGCTTGTTTACTCTGAGGGAGTCCATGAGCATATCCAAAACTATGATGTTGGGAAAATTTTTTCCTTATACAAGTGATTATTGAAAGAAAAGAAGCAAAAGTACACCGAGAAAAGGCTGCAGGTGTGGGAGGATTTGGGCTAGATTTTGTGTAAATTATTATTATTATTATTCTTATTGCCTCAAGTCTAAGCCGATCATTGGTGATTCTCTTGTTATTTTTTATTATTCTATTAAAAAACAAAAGGGTTGACAATAGAATTGCGCTGCAATGGTATGTCGTGTCGAATATGCAGTTGTAGTACTTCAAGATGGGTCATTACTTCCCCCCCCCCAAAAAAAAAACATTAGCACTCTTCCCAATTCTTTTAATTCCGGTTTTGGTGCAAAGGCAAAGGAAGTTAGTGGTGGGGAAAGGTCTGATATCTTTAGTCTTTTGCGATAGCTATACATAATCATGGAGAGCAAGGAACGATCACCTCCTCAGCACGCAGAAGTGAAGGATGCACAGGAAAATGAGATCAATCAAGGAGACAACGAGTCTGGTGCCGCCGAGGAATCGAACATACTTAGGGTAGAAACGGGCGAGCTAAATGTGATCGAGTCCATGTGCCCCAAATGCTACAAAAATGGCACGACACGCCTCATGATCACCGACATTCCGCACTTTAAAGAGGTAATTATCAGTAGCTTTGAGTGCCCAAACTGTGGGGAAACTAACAATGAGGTTACATTTGGTGGAGTATTTGGGCCTAAAAAAGTTCGCTACGAACTACAGGTGAGGGATAAAAGAGACATGGATCGCCAAGTCGTTAAGTCCGAATATGCATCAATCATCATTCCGCAGCTAGAGCTTGAGATCCCACCCGAATCTCAGAAGGGAGTGCTTAACACTGTAGAAGGCATTTTGGAGCATACCAGAGTCGGCCTTCAACTTCAGCAGCCGATTCGTAAAATCCAGAATCCCGAACTCCACGACCGGATTGAGGACTTTTGTCGGAAGCTCGAGGAGTACTGTCTTGGAAACATCCCGTTTACGCTGATCGTGGATGATCCTGCCGGGAACAGCTATGTGGAGGGGCGTTACGAGTACTACCATCCAACGATTGACCCACAGCTGACGAAGTACGAGAAGGAACGGACTGAAATTGACCGGCAGCTGCTGGGGCTTCCCATCGAATATAACACACAGCGAACGAAGGACGAGGAGGAGCAGGTAGACACGGGGCATATTGATGATATTAGCTGCCTGGCGTGTCCATGCCCCGCCTGCAATGCAATGGGATCAGTAAAAATGCATGTGTGCGAGATTCCATATTTCAAAGAAACTGTAATCATGGCGTTTAAATGCGACTATTGTGGCTACAAAAGTAATGAGATAAAATCTGGAGGAAAAATTTCCGAGAAGGGCTTACGCCTCACCTTGCACGTAGAGAGCGAAGAGGATTTGAAACGAGACGTCCTAAAGTCCGAGACAGCGACGCTGACCATTCCGGAGGTGGACCTAGAGCTGGCCCCCGGCACGCTGGGCGGGTTCTTCTCCTCCGTGGAAGGGACCCTCGTGATGGTTCGTGAGCAGCTCAACAAGCTGCCGCAGGCCGCTTTCGCCACGGGCGATTCCGCCACCGAACAGTCAAAATCGATGCTGGAGTTCGTAAAGGAACTGGATGCACTACTAACCGTCAAGCAACCCTTTACAGTGATTCTTGATGATCCGCTTGGAAACATTTACATTCAGAACCCCAGGGCACACTTGCCACCACCAGAGGACAAAGACCCACGGTTGACATCCGAAGAGTACGTCCGCAGCTTTGAACAGGACGAGGAACTAGGGTTACATGACATAAACGCCAAGGAATAGTTTCAGATTGCAAGGCGCCAAACCAAAGTGGGTAAAGGGTATCATTTGAGGATGAAACTCACAGTACCTTAAAAGGGAGTGGGATGCTACAAACGTTGCTTCATTTTTTTTTTTTAGTACAAACTCATGAAAGAATCATATTCTCCTGCCGCAACAATGATCGAACATAAGCTTTTCGAACACGAATCTGTGTTGTGAGTAGTGTTCGATCAAATATAACTTAATAAAAATAATAAATTTAAAATAATTTCAGTATTGTCCTTCCGGTGCACGTCTAAAAATACATGGACCGTTACTGTACCACCTGTTTAAGGGAGTTTATTCCCTTTTATGAAAATTTTTTAGCCTTGCAATTCATGACGCCTTATTTATGTTGAAGCGAACCCTCAATCATTTTTTTAAATGGAGGCGGAAATTTTTGGAATAGAAATACAAGCATAACCAAAGAAACAAAAAGGTTTAAAGAGGCAACCTACATACACAACCAAGAGCTAAAGCGCGCAGGACAGTAGGCGACGAATGACGAGGGGGGCAAACGCTGTAACAGATGTTGATGATATTATCAATCACTACTACGCATTCATTAATACAAGCACTAGTGTCCAGAAGGAAATAGAGGGATACTTTCTGAGGCAAGAGGTTGACATCCGCAAGCGCGTCGGTCTCCTGGATGATCTTCAACGCACTATAAGCGATGAGAGGCGCTGCCTTGAGTTGCAACACCAGGAATGTCGGGCGCGGATTAGCGCGACTCGGCGCCATAGCATTTTACTACAGTCCGAAAAACGAAAAGTGCAGGATGCAATTAATTCTTCTCAAAGTGTGCTTGGAAGGGAAGAGGAGGAAGCCGAAGCTGAATTACGAAGGCTAGATGATAGTATCGCTATAGAGGACAAGCTTATTAAAGAAGCTCTAGACACACGTGATGTTCTAGCGGCAGAGGCGAAGTCACTGAGAGCTAAAGAGACACGCTGCCAACGTGAAGAGCTCGCTATAGAGAAGGCACTAGAAGAGCTTCGTAGCTTCGCGGACGAGATTGAGCAGCGAAAGCAGTCACTCGCAAAAAAGAATAGCACCATTGTAGAGTGGAACCAGACGTTGGAGGCGCGTGAAAGGGAGCTAGTTCGCTGCCAGGACGAGTTACGAGATGCTTTGTATGCACTGAACTGTGATGAACGTCTGTTGGGCATGAACCGGACGGGAAATAACACGATTACTCAGAACATCTCGCAGCGAGAGCTCATGGATGATCATGACATGTGCATTGTGCATGAGCATCTTCGTGAAGAAATTGACCTTGAGGATGAGGACGGTGAAAAAGAATAGCCTGTAGCGCTGTGTGTGTATGGGAGGGGGAAGAAGGAGGAGCATAGCTAAGGGGTATTCACAAGGAGACCATTTTTTTCTATTCTAAGATACATTTCCTTTCATACTCAAAAGTTCCAGTGGCTCATCTTTTGGATATATTGAAAATTGAACTTCATATGCGGCAATCTAATTTTTTCACCCTTTTACGCCTGTAAATCAGTGCGGATATGGGACGAGTAGCGTGATACTGGATCGTGGAGGCATCCATCAGCTAAACCTAAAACACAAAATTCAACATCGCGACATTTCGAGATTTTGTTTTGCATCTCACGGAGTATTCAAAGCCATTTTTTCCAGTGGTAAGCGTCATTTTGCGAACTTTTTACTTTTCCCGCATTTTTTTCCATCTTTAGTATTTGTACCCAGCCCTCCCTCCCCACATCATTGCGAGATGAACGACCTTAAGCTGCTCAACTCCCTTTTGCAAAGTAATTCTTTCAGCGACGCTTTAGTGCGAGATACGCTAGACTTTTCGTCTCCACGTCAGAAGACTGACACGTTGCTCAGCATACGCTGGCACTTCCTCTTGGGTTCCCTTCCTGTCGACGTGGACCCTGAAAATGCACCGACCCACTGCACAGAGGCGTGGCGCGCCATATGGTCGGGGTGGGAAAGCATTTCACAGAAACGTGCAAGGCTGTGTGAAACCAGAGGTAGTCATTCTCACTTCAAGGCTGTAAAGCAATCCCGGTTCGATCCTAGCAGTGACAGTGAGTCAGAAAGCGGCGATTTTTGCACGAGATCACCGGCACAGGCTGGCGGTAAGGGGTGTGCGACGAGGGAGAATCCTTTGCGGCCTGAGGCTAACAGTCCGTACGCAGTTCAGTATTTCATTGATCAGATCTGGAAAGACGTCAAGAGGGATGTGGATCGCTTATTTTGGGACCTGCCTATTTTCAATAATCCCCAGACCAAGTGCGACATCACAAATATTCTGATTAATTTCTGTTTTGAGGAGCAAAAGGAGTATCGCCAAGGTCTGCATGAAATTGTTGCCTTTTTGTATTACATCTGCCACCGTGATGGGTGTCTTCTAGAGACGTTAAGAGGGGAGACCATACGATTCCCGGCAAAGGAAGCCGGGTTTTGGGATTACGTTTCGCTGACGTGTTCTTCTCCCAGTGGCCTTCTTAGCTCGACATACGCCCTTTTTAAGAGGATCATGTCTCCTGACGGCCTTGGGCTTGGTCATTGGTTTTATAATGATGAGGAAGACGAGACGCAAAACAACATAGCAATCGTATCTAAGTGTGTGCAGAGTGATATTCTGCACCGCATAGATCCCGTGCTACAGAGCACGCTAGACGACGATTATGATATTCAAGCAGTTTCCTACATGGTGCGCTGGCTCCGACTTCTATTTTTGCGCGAGTTTTCCTTTTCCCAGAGCGCCCTGGTATGGAGTACAATTTTCGCGGATGCGCATATTTGTAGACGAAACAAACAACCGTTTAATTTGAATAAAAGCTTCTCGCTGTTCTTAGCGGCAACCATGCTGCATGTGATCCGGGATGAGCTATGCAATGGTTATGTCACCGCTCTACGCCGATTAATGAGCTACCCACCTGTCAAGGATATTTGTATGTTGATTACAAAAGCCGCATCTTTTGCCGATTCCACAGATCTCCTGATATATATCCAGCCACCGTTAGCACAGGGAGACGACTGTACAGTCACACAGCAGGTGCGGCAACCACGTGCCGCCGAAGCTTCTGATGTGCTCTCAACCAGAAATATTATAGCCAGCCAAGGTCAACATATAGCTTCCATAATCGAGCGCCTAAGCAAACCGCTATATTCATCCTCGTTACTAAGCGATGCTGAAAAGGAACAGTTTGAAAGTAACTATTTGCAAGCGCTAGCAGAACTCAAAAAGGTTCGTGATGCTCTTCTTTTTGGTGTGTCTGATTAGCTGTTAGTCTATCTAATTTCTTGTGAAATCTTTATTCAAAAGGAAGTCAGTGCATTCGGGGTATAAATCTATATTTATACCATTATCTATATCTACATATAATACGTTGAGCTATGAAATACAAAACATCATGAGTGCTAACATGCTGCTTCCCTTCTATGCTTTTCTATTTATGTCTTTCCCATACTCCGTTTAGAAATGCGCTCGTATGAGTCTCGTTCAAATGAACACTATACTATTCGGAATAAAGGGAAAGTGATCCTGGAAGGTTGAGGCTTGTTGCACACAATGAAATTTCGGTTACCAAATTCAGTTACCGTCTTGTTGATTCACTCTTTTGAACTATAGTCATCACTTACACCTAGGGGTGATCGTTTACCTTTTTTTTCATGATTGAACCCTCTCTTGCAGTCTTTTTATCAAGGGAGTAAGGGGGTATCTACTACGGCCAGGTTCAAAGATAATACCGTTTAGTAGCAGATGGACTACAGCGCCAAATATACACCCATGTCATGAATCTTATTCTCGGAAACACGAAAATAACTTGGTATGAGAAGATGTCTATCTATAAAGTTGTGGTGTTTTTAGTGTTACAAAATCGTGGATGAATTCTAACCAAGTGGACAGGGTTCGATTTTTGATTTTTACTCGTGCACTGCACGCATAAAAAAGGTTTCTCAGGTCACACTTAGTCAACATTATACTGTTAAAGAAAGTTGATGTTATGGAGATCATAAAGACATTGACTACATTAGTTGGCATCCCTACGAATACTTTGCTATGGAATTCCTCACGATTAGGTATACATCTTGCGAATATCACATAAGTGTGTAATGACTTTTTTTTTTTGTTACGAGAAATCAATCAAGAGGGTCATTGTTGGAGTATGCACGCTTCGGCGGCTATGAAAAGTCTCTTTGGTTAACTACAAAACGGGATATCACGCGCTCGTGCTAGGGGGCATGACGGAATAAAAGTGAGCCTATAGATGTGCTTGGATTCCTCTTTTTGTGCAACTTCTTTCAGCGTCATTCTATTGGCCATATAGTAGTGTGTCGTAGTGAATAAAATAAAAAAATTATTACAAATGAACTTTTTCCAAGTGTATGATGTGCAGACTCTTCAGAGAAAAACAGACTTGTTTGTAATCGGTGAAATCGGTCTAGTACTTGTGCTGGTAGTGGTCATTGGGATAGCGCTACAGCGGCTTCCAGCGTTTTTGGTGCATTCTTTTGCACTAACACATGGTGTGGCGCGCACAAAGCCTAGGGCGATTCCTCCAGTTCAATGCCACCACGCACAAAACGTGAAAGCTCCCCGGAAGTCGTTGGATCGCTTATCGGAGAACACTGAGGTGGGAGTTGAAAAGGTTGAGCATGTTGTCGGTAGCGAAAATGGCGTTCTTTCTGGTGCGCTAGACTCATTTTTTGAGCAGGAGGAGCTTCTTGAGGAATCACTTTTAGACGCAAAGGTTTCGATGGGTATTCATGAAACTAGCACCGCTCAGGGTACCAAAGTAGGGAGGCGCTTGCAACCATCCAAAGAGCCTCCAATGAAAGCGTCTGATTTAAAGCGGGATTCTGCGCAAGAAAAGGTCCGGGATTTGAACAAAAAGTCCACTGTCGCTCCCCAGAGCCAAAAGTTGTCCAGAAACGTTTTTTCAGACCCCAATACTACTTTAGATGCTGCGCTAAATGATTTTTGGGGCCAAGAGGATATTCTAGACGAAGCCATCATTGATTGTGCCATTGAGGAGGCCAAACATTCCGCCTAACCTTGGCACCGAGCTACGTTACGTAAGGGGGGTCAGTGCTGTGAGGCTGCTTTATTAATGCTAAGTCGGCAGTTAAAAGGTTCAGAGTGATGTCAATGTGAGCAAGCCCTATTATTTATTGGAAATTTGAGAGAGTGCGAGCGGTCAAGTTAACTTTTCACCCCATGTTGTCATCCCTCCGCAATGTCACCGCGTCTTTCTGTCCATCATATTTACTTCTCCCCTCCGTCTTTCGCTTATTTAGTTGAAAATTTTAATTCATACGAAGCCATGAGCTTTTACAAGTCTGCTATCATTACGTCCAACGTTATCAATACGTGGGATGGCTACCTCTTATGGAGGCAAATGCGATCTTGTGACATAAAAGTGATCCCAGAGAAATTGAAGAGCACCGTCACCACGGAGGAGTTCCAAAAGAGCCAAAGTTACAGGAAAGAGTCCTCGGTCTTTTCTTTGTTTGAGCATGTTAAGGGAATGATCGTTTCAAACGCCACTTTGCTCTTGAAACTTCCTGCAAAGTTGTATTACTTTTGCTCATCCAGAAACAGCCTGCAGAGAGGATCTTTTTTGCATGGTTGGCTCTTTTTGGTAGCCTCGGATGTGGTCTCAACTTTGATCGATGTACCTTTTTCCTATTACAAGAACTTTGTGATCGAGAAGAAGCACGAATTCAACAAGATGTCACGCTGGGAGTTTGCCAAAGACACAATGAAGACATTTTTGCTGAGGACTACGCTGATCTACCCCGTCCAATGTGGGCTTATTCAATATGTTGTCTCAAAGTTTGGTGTGCGGTTCCCGATTTACTTTTTCATCGCTAGCTCCGTTATCCTGTTCGCCTCTATGTTCATACTTCCGGTCTTCATATTTCCGTTATTCTTTGTGTTTTCGCCGCTTGACGACAAGGGGGAGCTGCACGAAAAAATAAAAGCACTGGCAGATAAGATAGGCTTTCCGCTCAAAAAAATATTCATCGTTGATGGCAGTCGACGCTCGACTCACAGTAATGCTTATATGTATGGATTTTGGAAGAACAAGCGCATCGTTATATATGATACCCTACTCGAGCAACTAAAGGGGGACGATGAGCAACTATTGTCAGTCCTCTGCCATGAGTTTGGTCACTGGAAGCACGGTCACACACATGCTTTTTTCGTCATAAATCTCTTGGCATTGTTAGGCATTTCGTATGGAGCAAGATATTTTATTTTTAATCAATCACTATACAGCCAGTTTGGCTTCCAAGAGATGGATCCCATTATAGGATTGATGCTATTCCTTGAGGTCTTTGTAGAGCCTGTGTCAACACTTTTGAAGTATTGCTTCTCCCAAGTTTCGCGCCGATTCGAATTCGAAGCGGACCGATTTGCGGTTTCCATGGGCTATGGAACCAAACTTGGAGAGGCATTGTTAATCACGAATAAGGCGAATAAGATGGAATTAACACCAGATCCTTTATACAGCGCACTGATTTACAATCACCCACCTCTTATAGAGCGCCTCAATGCTATTGCTGTTGAGGATAAAAAGCGAATTTAGACACGTTTAACTATCCGCCGAATCAGCTTTTTCACCGACCCCGCTGCATTACTCCCCCCCCCCCCCCTCCCTCCTCCCCTTTTATCGGCTTTACTTTCATTTTTATTAGTACTTGTTAGCATCCAGTGATTTTTATATGGGGGTTGTGGGAGTAAATAGTCATATCACATATCGTGGGTAATAAATGTTGAGATTATATACAAAAATATAATATAGGGAAAATGTTGCATTACATGTAGACATGTCCTGAATGCATCCGGTTTATTTGCCAAAGTTTTATGTTGAGCTAGTCCATTTTTATATTCACCACTTTAATGATTGGTATTATAGGTCTGGAAACAATTATCTTTTGAAAATACTAAACGTGTATCTGATTGCGTGAAGATTCCTACCGTTATCGATAAATCCTTCGAATTTGACATACAGGTGAACATTATCTAAATGTAATTCGAGATATAGTGATTATGTTTTCTACCTGGACTCCAACCAGGGTGGCTTTAGCATATCGAATTCTTAACCTATGGAATCTTTTTGAGTATTATAATGGTGGGAGAGGGTACATGAGTTTTATTGGTGTGCTTTTCTAAAAATGAAACAGTTTTGGGTTGCTATAACCATTAATGTTTGTTATTTTTTATCTTCAACACGAGCCCTAGGCATTTGTCAAGGATATGGAACACAACAAAGTGTACTTCTAAAATAGATATCTCCTTGGTCTGTTCACACACACACACATTGCAACAGGAGTTCATTGCTCCACAACCGAAATTATGGTTCCAATGTTGAGCAAGCAGCCTTCCTCGCACAACCTGGAGTGATGACCGCTGCAAGCATAGAGTCCTACTGGGAGTAATGGGAGCGGTGTGGGGGGAGGAGAGTTTGCTCGATGGGCACACTTGACGCATCCACGAGATAGTTTGGTGGTATGGGCGCTGTCCTACACTACTGCCTTCCACGGCTACATGACTCAGCTGCGGGAATCGGGTTAACCATTTCCCCTCCATTTTATCAAAGGCGCATCTGAGAGACGAGGGGATTACGAGGGGATCACGACGTGCTCAGCCAGGCAGGTTGTGCGCACTTTGCATGCAACATTTCTAACCACTTCCAGTACGCCGGACCCCTTGGTTTCGATGCTTCCTGTAGTTTATGGGTTCAACGATTACACCTCTTCTCATTGGCTGAGTTGGGGGAGTTCCAGAACGCTGGCTGAGGCCCTTTCACTCTTGTCGAACCTGCGAGGTGTGTCCTCCTTCAGAGCTTGGTTGGGAGGTGTAGCCGCATGTGGCGCCCGACGCGGAGAATCTAATGATGGGTGGGATTTGGGACCAAAGGGGTGTATGAAGACGTGGGATGTGTGACCGATGCGCGGTACATCGGTCCTGTTTTCTCGAATATGTACTTTGACTACTCCTTTCATCCCGCTCTTCCTCCTCTTTTTGTCTCATTGGAATTCTTTTAGACACAAGGACAATTCACATTACTTAAGTCTTATTCGGTGTGTGAAGGTTCAACCATTAGGAGGAGCTCACACAGAAGGAATCTACTAAAATGGTATCAATAAGAGACTATCTACAAAAGCGATTAGAAAGAGATATTTTTAAGAATCGCCTCCGGCGGTCGCTTTTCGTTGGGGTTATCGGCGTGCTTTTAATACTTCTTTGGCTATACTACGCTGGTGATTCGAGGCGGATCCCATTTACACCATCGGTGCTTCCTTCTGGTGGTACACAGGATATGTTCCTTCGTTCCACAGGGACTCGTGTGGTGATTTTCGTTATGAGTGATAAAATAGATGATGCCCTTTGCTATTCTGCGGGCTCAGCTTACTTAAACGGACTGCCCGTGGTAGTGGCCGGCTATCGGATGCCGTTTCGTGGATTAATGTCGAAGTTTGACTTTATTGAAGCGGCCATCGAGAATGCAGAGCTGCAGCCAGAAGACGTAATCATTGCAATGGACTCAGACACAATCTTCACAGGTGCGGACCTTAACCCGTTCTT